CGCCCCCCCACCCCAGGCAGGCAGGCGTCTGCCCCACCCCCACCCCAGCCCCCGAAGGCAGGAGACTGGGGATGCGGGGTGGGGGGTAACCCAGACGCTGATCTAGGAGAGGTGAGCAGATTCCCTAAACACCCCTTACCAAGGACGTCCGCAGATACTTTCTTTAGAAACCGAAAACTGAGTTTTCTCTCCCATTCAGATGAATGTCTATAAAACTGAAACGGAATCACCCCCAGATGCCACCTGGGCAGGGGTTTCACCGAGCGCGGCTAAGCCCCGGCCTGGGCATGGCGGCGCCCAGGGCTGCTCTTTGGAGGCGCGCGCTGCGGGCAGCTCTGGAGCGGTCAGGGGCACCTGTTTTTAAACAACCTGATGGCGCTTACAGAGAACCCTGCAAAAGCCAGCAGAGCCCCTCGCTGGGATCCAAGGGCCCGGAGCACAGACAGGAGCTGACCTCCGGGCTCTCACCACCGCATACAACGAAGCAGGATTTCTTTGGGCTCCATTTTCCCCTCAAACTTTCCACGGAGCAGCTAGGAGTCCCGCAAGTCCAGCACCCACCGGCCCGGGCTCTGCTGTCTGCGCGGCAAGCGCCCCCCTCCCGGTCCCCGGGGTGGCAGCGAGGGAGGGGACAGCAGAGCCCTGATGGGGAGGTCAACCAGCTTCTGCTTCTAGAAAGTGCAGTTCTGACTCCCCTCGAAGAGCGGCCGCGGGTTGGGTCGGGGCTAGCACACGGACTGAACAGGGAGAGCGCCAGAGCTGCCGCACAGTCCGGCCACAACCGGCCCCGAGACCATTCAGAGACAGGATTTTCAAAGAAATCCGAGTGCAGGGACTCCGCGGAGACAGAGGGAAGCCAGATGCGCAACCTGCTTACGCGCCCCCGTCCTCTGTGGCGTGGGAAACAAAGGCAGCCGAGAAATGATCACATTTCCGTGACTACCTAGCCCACTGACAGGTCCTGGAACAGCCCCGGTGCGCCTCACCCGGCTTCACACACCCAGGGGACTCGAGCAGCTTGGGGGCTGGTGGCTGAGGGCCCCGACATGTGATTAGAAGGCTGGAGACCGGGCCCATCACACGAGCGACGAGCCCATCAGCCCCGAGCCCCCCAAGAACCTGAAATGAAGGGGTGCGGGAGCCTCCGGGGCACACGGAGGTGCCGGCAGGGGACGGGTGGTCCCCGGGCAGGGGGCAGGGCCTGGAAGCTCCGTGCTCCTTCCACACACCCGCCCGCCCTGTGGGTGTCTTCCTTCGGCTGTTCCCCAGGCCTGTCCTTATGATGAGCCAGTAACCGGGAGTGAGGTGTTTCCCTGAGTTCTGTGAGCCGTTCTAGCAAATTATGGCTGGACAAGGGGGTCTGGAACCCTGACTTACAGCTGGCGACAGCCTGGACGTGGGGGCGGTCTCGTGGGACCCGGCCCTCAGCCGCACTCACGCTGGACAGATAGCGTCAGAACTGCTTGTTCTGAAAAACCCACATTTGGTGTCAAGAGCGCCAGCAGAAAAATGGAAGCGTTGGGGCGTCTGGGTGGCTCAGCTGGTTAAGCATCTACCTTCCACTCAGGTCATGATCCCGGGAGGAGCCCAGCCCTGGGCTCCCTCCTCAGCGGGGAGTCTGCTTCTCCCTCTGCCCCTCCCCCAACTCATGCTGCCTCTCTCCCCCAAGTAAATAAATAAAATCTTCAAAAAAAGGAAAAGAAAAAGGAAAAGGAAAGCGCTTCTACTTAGGCGTCTGGGGAAGAGCGAGTAGGGGTCCGGCTGCGTTAAGACTTCTCATCATCAGCCCCAGAAGCTCTGAGAAACCTGCTCCGACTGAGACCGGAGGACCCAGGCAGATCGGTAAGACCCCTGGGTGCAAGAAAACCAGAGAAGGTTCAGCTTCAAGTTCTTTCTTAAAAAGTTGTTTGGGGGGGGCGCCTGGGTGGCTCAGTGGGTTGAGCCGCTGCCTTCGGCTCGGGTCGTAATCTCAGGGTCCTGGGATCGAGTCCTGCATCGGGCTCTCTGCTCAGCAGGGAGCCTGCTTCCCTCTCTCTCTCTGCCTGCCTCTCTACTTGTGATCTCTGTCAAATAAATAAATAAAATCTTTAAAAAAAAAAAAAAAGTTGTGGGGCGCCTGGGTGGCTCAGTGGGTTAAGCCTCTGCCTTCAGCTCAGGTCATGATCTCGGGGTCCTGGGATCGAGCCCCACATCAGGCTCTCTGCTCAGCGGGGAGCCTGCTTCTCCCTCTCTCTCTGCCTGCCTCTCTGCCTACTTGTGATCTCTCTGTGTCAAAGAAATAAATAAAATCTTTAAAAAAAAAATAAAAAAGAATAAAAAAAAAAAGTTGTTTGGGGATAAATCCCAGAAAAAGAGAGAATAAAAGAAGAAAAGACAAAAAGACGGCGATGTGAGATCTGAAGAACTGCGGCTACAACTCAGAGGGAGTCGGGGCCTCTTGGGCAGGCGGCCTGTGTCCCAAGCGTCCGCACCAAGTGGCCGGCGGTGGGGGGTGGGGAGGAAAGGGGGACACAGGTGGGAAAGTATCCCGTGGGGACAAAGAGTACTGATAAAGATTATGCAAGAAGTCAAGGAAGTTTTCCAAAGCAGGAGATGCCGCTAGAAGATGGACAGAAGTGTGAGGAAGAAGCTGTCCGGCCGCCGGCTCACGGGCGGAGGAACAGGGACGCTCCAGACAGGACTGGAAGAACTCTCTTAACCGTGCAGAGAACGAAGCACAGGGCAGGGTTCATTATGCAGCCTTGGGGTGGGGTGAGGAGTCCACAGGGACAACTATAACATTCCACATCAAGTGAAATGCGCGGGCGGCCCCTATGGCATCATGGAAAACACTGGGACTTCAGAAACTCTGAGGTAGTTCAGGCTACCAGAAAGATCCGGAACTTTCCAGAAAGGGACCAATGCAAGATGCATGGCCCCTTGCCCAGGGTCATCGGTCAGAGAACCTCATCCCTGGAAATGGGAAACAAGTTCCTTCATACAGCTGAGAAACACTGATTCTACCCCAAATGTAGAGAAAAAAAGGAAAAAATGCATGTCTCAAAGCAAGTGGTTCTGTGCTCAGCACAGGGCTCAAACTGTCTGCTCAACCCAGCAGCTCCGAACAATCTCTTTGGGACTGGGACAGGGAAGCCGCAGAGATCAAAGGCAGCCCCGCTCCCGGGAAGCCTGAGCTGGCATTAACAGGCGGTGCCTCGGGCCAGCTCCAGCTCCCCTGGGAACAGTCTCGGAAGCCTCCTCGGGGACCTCTGTCTCGCTCCGTCTCTTGCTAAGTGACAGCTCAAACACTCCTAACGACTATTTCACACTGTGCAGCACAAGGCAGCGCTGGCGAGGACTATGTTTACGGCAACAAAAGAGAGGGAGGCACTGCGGAAAGCCGGGTCTCCCCTGTGCACCAGGCCCTCCTAGGGTGCAGCCCACGGTTCCGTGATTCTGGAAGGACAGTGCTGCTTCCTCAGGGAGGAAAGAGCTGAGAAACGAAGCTAAGATGTTCGGTGCCCCCCGCGCGGTGGAGGCCAGCCATGCCAGGGACCAGCACCCTCTGGATCCCCCCAGCAGAGACCACCGGCTCGCTGGGGCCGCCTCAGTCTGCTCCCCAGGTCGGTTGGAGAACCTGAGTTTGAGCTCCATCGCTGGAAGGCTCAGGGCTCCTGCGCCCTTGTGGATGCAGGCAGGGGCTGGGGCGGGGAGATGGGTTCAGCACCCACATGCCTCACCCTCTGGGGCCAGGGCTGCTGTGGGTGGAGGGCCTAGCGGCTCCGGGCCGGTCAAAGGAGGGCCGAGAAGGCTGCTCAGAACCTCCGGAAGAGGCTCCGGTGAGGCTTGGGGCCAGGCCAGCCTCCAGAGGCTCCCGGGCTGTGCAAGGGGCTGCCCGCAGCCTAGGTGCCGCTGCTGAGTCGGGGGCACAGGGGGCTAATGGACAAGGCTCTAGGGACAGGGGCTCTGAGGCCCCCACCCACGCCCAGGCCGAATGCGGAATCTGGCCCCGGGAAGTGCTCAAGTCCGGGCAGGTGCAGTCGCCTTTGAGCACCTTCACCTCCAACCCCACCGCTCCAGACCTGGGGGGGCAGGACCACGCAGGGAATGGGGGCTCTGCGGTGCACCTGTCTGAAGGCTGAAGGGGAGCCTGTGGGAGGGGTGTTGGCGGAACTGCATCCAGGGAGAGGGGCACCCAGCGACCTGGGTGGGGGGAGCATGGGGGAGGGTGTAGCGCTTGGGGGTCGCCCTGGGGCCAGGGAGCGTTTTTTGGGGGGGGAAGCGATCCAGACGGGAGCTTCGGGGGGGGGTGTCCCGGAGGAGGGGAGTCGTGCAGGGGAGGGGCACTGGGGAACGTGGCGGGGGGGGGGGGGGGGGGGGGGGGGGGGGGGGGGGGGGGGG